TGGACATTTGGAGTGATGGGAAAAATCTCTTAATTCATAAACAGGCTGCTTTGTACAATCGATTTTGGGGGGGATGCTGTGATTTGTGCACGGTGTGTTTCATTCTCTGGAAACATGATGGGGTGCAATGGTGGAGCACTCGACCCACTCTCTGAAAGTTTGGCAGTTCATGTCCTCCAATATCTCTGAGGGAGAAAATGGAGGCTGGCAGGGTCTGTAATGATTTACACTCTTGGACAAGCCAATGAGGCCGTTCGACTCTGTCTTCATGTGGTCCCTGTGAGTTGGGATTGACTTGAAGGCAGTAGGTAGACTCTTCCTACCTTTCTTCCTGAGTCTTAGTCCCAGCCTTCCCGACTGCTGGAGGAATGAGCCTTGGCACAGGCCTTCCATGCCAGAACATCTGAGCTCCAAGCCCCCTGCATTCATCATCTATTGACACTCCTGTCATCACTTCAGTCATCGGAAAACAAACAAACAAAACAAAACATATTGCTAGAAAGTTGACAACGAGGATGGGAAAGTAGCCAAAACCCAAACCAAACTCACGGCCATGGAGCCAATGCTGACTCATTGCAACCCTATCGGACAGCCCCAGACTGCCTTCTATGAGTTTGTCTCCGATACTGTCACCGCTCATGGGAATAGAAAGTGCTGTCCTTCTCCTCAGGAGTGGTTTTGAACTGCTGACCTTTTGGATCACCGCCCAACTGGTATCCTCTATACCACCAAGCTCTGCCTTGGCAAATAGAGGGTCAGTGAGAAGAAGGAAGCCCCTGAAAGGGATGAACTGACTCAGTCGTGGCAACAATGGATATAGATGTAGCAACCAGATGGCCCAGACCTGGTCTGGATGGAGTTCTGTGAATGAGTTAGAACCCACTGGGCAGCTGCCACCAGCAATAGTCACATCAACCAGTAGACAGGTCACCATCGATGTGTTGATTTCTGTAGCTATGAAATGGGGAAAATGATATGAACTTCTGCATTCGTCTGTTGAACAGCTTTTATGCAGTAATGCCGTGGGCTGTTCTCGTGGTTGGCAGATAGTGCAGAAGCAATGGTTGAGTGGTAGAATCCTCACCTGCCATGCTGGAGACCTGGGTTTGGTTCCTGACCAATGTGCCTCCTGTTCAGTCACCCCTGTCTGTGTTGAGTAGGATTTTCTATGTTTTCTTTTATTCTTTTGCTGTTGTTATTGTTGTTTGTTTGATTGTCTCTTTTATATATGAAATCCAGGACAGGTGAAGCTATGGTGACCATAACTAGATTAACGGTTTCATGGGGGTATAGCAGGGAGGTTGGGGGGAAATGGGATACTAATAACAATGAGTACAAGAAAGGAGAAAATGTTCCCAAATTGATTGTGGTGAAGATTGTCCAACTCTTCTCAATATGAATGAACTATTGGATTGTATCCTATGTGAATCATATGCCAGTAATACTGTTAAAAAATAAATAAAGGTTTTGAGAAACTAACTAAACACACACACACACAAAAGATGCTGAACAGGCTTCCCTGGAGTTTCCAGCTATAGATGACCCATGGAGAGAAACCTGGCAATCTCTTCTGAATAAAAAAATCCATGGGAGCATCAACCAGATCCCCGTGGGCTAGAAGCAGGACTGGGCTGTGTTTTGTCCCCCGGTGAGTGGGGCCACCAGGATTGAATGCAGCTAGAGGTCTCGCCCTTGAGTTTGTTAGTAGATCTGTGAATGGCCCCTGGGTGGTTTTGTACTTCAAGGGTCTTAATGAGAAAACTGTTGGCTTTGGGTCGGCTGATGGGGAGGAGGACTGGGAAAGTGAGACAACATAAGTCATTTGTCTGAGTGGCTGCCTCTCTGAAGTTGCAGATAGACTTCATCAATGTACAGTAAACCCTTAATTATGATGGCAGGGATGGCAGGCTCATTCCTGAGGGCTTCCAGTGACAACTTAATGCTGTCATGGCTGGACAATTTAATGGGGGAGGGTGGGTGGGCAGAGGGGCCCTTCATGGTCCTGCCAGGGCCCGAGCCCTGGAGGCCAGGCACAGCTGGGAAGCATCTTGTCCTAAAATCTGGCATGAACCAGCACCGTTCCGGAAAAAGACTGGGCTTGAGAATTTTGGGGGTAATCCTGGCCCTAGACAGAGAAGGCCGGCCAGCGATGCTTTCTGTTTTAAATCTGCTGCTTTGCAAAGCCTGGCTAATTCGCAGTTCTGGGAGGCCCCCCTCTTCCCCGAAGAGATTAGCAGTGACTCTAACTGCCTTAAACTGGACCACATCCAAAATGATTCTGGATGAGCAAGAGCCAAACGCAGCCGAAAGCAAACAAACAGACTGCCCAGGGGCGGCCTGTGTTCTGCTGAAATGCTCTATGTTTAATAACTTTTAATAGCAAACTAGTGGTTGCCTACAATCTCCACATTCCTCGAGGACATTCCAGATGTGGTATGTGCTTGTGGGTAATCACGTCTCTCAATGCATCCTATATAGCCACCCTTCTATAGGCTGTTGCCATTAGGTGCCGTCAAGTCAGTTCCAACACATAGTGACCCTATCTATGTACAATGGAACGAAGCATTGTCCGGTCCTGCACCATCCTCACAACTGCTCTTGTCTAAGCCCAATGTAACAGCCATTGTGTCAATCCATCTTGTCGAGGGCTTTCCTCCTTTTTCTACCACGCCTCCCCTTTACCAAGGGGAGGACTTAACTGGTCTCTTCTGATAACAAGTCCGAAGTACATGAGATGAAGTCTCACCATCATTGCCTCTAATGAGCATTCTGGCCATACTTCTTCTAAGACATATTTATTGGGGTTTTGGGGGGCCGTCCATGGTCCTTTCATTGTTCTTCGCCAGCAACATAATTCAAGTACATCGATTCTTCTTCTATCTTCCTTCTTCAGTCTTCCTTACTTGAATTCTTTGGAGTCATATGTACATGGACATATACAGGAAGAGGGAGGAGACCCTGGTAGAGGACTGGGGACAAAGCTTGGTTGCTAATGGCGAGGTTGGTCGTTGTCAGCAACACAGTGGCTCCGTGGGAGAGAAGACAGGGTGAGCTGCTCTTGGAAAGATGGCTCAAGGTCATCAAGGAGATTGGACTCTGAGTGATGACCTGGGAGAGGCTAGGGTTGCTGCTACAGCTTTGCCATCAATTTCTCCTGAGGAACGAGTGGAGGATTCAAGTTCCCAATCCCTTGGCTAGCAGCCCATCAAAGGAAGCATTGCACCACTTGGGTTCCTTCTTGCAAATCTTACAACACAGAAAAATCAACTCTATGGGGTCTTGCTGCCATATAGGGTCCCCCAAACCCAACAACATACGACAATTATGGTCCATATTGATATAATGGCTAAAACCTTGAGCTCAAACATGCCAGGAATCACGGAGATGGCAAAGGACTAGACCATGGTCTATTCAGTCATACGAAAGGTCACCTTGAGTTGGAACGGACTCCATGACAGCTAACAGAACAAACGACAAAAACGAACTTGCGGTGGTGGAGTTGAACCAGATGCCAAGGAGCCCTGGTGGTCCCCGTGAGGCCTGGGGCTATGGGGCTGCTTGGAAACCACTCGCCATTCCTCTGGAGAACGATGAGGTTTTCTATTCCGAAAGAGTTCCAGTGTTGGAACCCCACAGGGGCAGCTCTACCCTGCCCTTTAGCGTCCCTATGAGTCCCAGTGGACTCGATGACAGTGAATTATATGTCCAGGCTACACAGAAGGCCTGGTGGCACTATCAGGTATGCACTGGACTGCTAACCATGGGTTGTTGGTTCAAAGCCACCAAGTGCTCCTCAGGAGATAGATGAGGCTGTCTGTTCCTGAAAATATCTGTAGGCTTCGAAACCATATGCAGGGTCACTGTGAGTCAGAATGGACCCTGGAACAGCAGATTTGGGTTTTGACAGCCTTCAAATATTTCGTGGAAAAATCCCATTGTCTTTTGACTATATTTCCGCAAACTTTTGGAAGCCCCTTCATGTAAATGTATGTTTTGCTTGTTTGTTGGGTAGTTGTCGTCAAGCCAGTTCCCACGCATGGTGACGCTTCTATATGGAGTTGAACTACTCCACAGGGCTTTCAAGGTGAAGGCTCTCAGGAGCAGGCCTGTTGGCATCTCTTCTGGGTGGGTTTGAACTGTCAACCTTGCTTCGAGTAGTTGAGCACTTAACTGTGGACTCCACCCCTTGGACTCGTGTGTATGTATGCGTGTGTGAGCTCTGTACAAGGGGGCTTCAAACAGTTCCTGGGAACATTCCATTGTCTTTCAATTCCATGTGTCTGGGACCCTTCTGAAGTCCACGCTTACAACGAGATGAAGGGGTATGCAGCCCTTGCATGCTGCAGCCTGCCACGTGGGTGCTGTGACAACCGTCTCATAGTTTGGTTGTTGTTTATGATTCATTGGTATGGGCCCTCCCCTTTCCCTCAGAGTTGGTCTTTCCTGAAAGTGCACCCCAAATACGCCCGGGAAGAGTCATGCAAAGAAACTGCGCACACATATTTCTTTTTAACAAATCCTTGAAAAATGGGACAGAGAAGGACTCTCCTTAACCTGGGTTGCAGTGGGGCAGGTTCTGTTTGTTAAAACAGCCTCCCCAAGAGCAGAAAGAGAGGGAGTGAGAGACAGCGAAGTGGAACAGACTTGGATTTCACACTAAGCACAAACCCTTTTGTTAAAATAAAAATTCCATATTGTGTTCCACTGTACCCCAATTCAGTCTCTCCCAAATATGTCCTCCAGAACACAGTCTTAGTCTGTTGGCATTGACCCACGATTGCCTTGGAATTGGGCCCCGATTTGAGACACTTAATTTGAAGGGAGACCCCTGCCAGACCTCCCCCTTCTAGAACAAACACACACACACACACACACACACACACACACTAACCATTTGGACACCAGGGTTTCATCAATCCGTTGGGTTTGAGTTCCCCTCCCTTCTCGTACCCCCTTCCCTCGGGTCTTGCCTGTGAAGTAAATGCTCTGTCTCTTTGCAGGACAGTGACAACCTCTGGTGGGACGCGTTTGCCACGGAATTCTTTGAGGACGACGCCACCTTAACCCTTTCCTTTTGTTTGGAAGATGGACCAAAGCGATACAGTAAGAAGAAGTTTGTTTTTCTAATCTTTTCCATCTCTGGTCTGAGAAGAGCACCTTGGCAGTGGTCAGGGAGGGGTGGTGGTGCTCAAGAGATTCGCTATGTATGGGCCTGGACTCTTTGGACACTTACCTGTCGTCGGAGTGAGGAAAGAGGTGTCAAGTGGCTCACTGATCAGGCAGTATTTGCCTTTCACTTTCCTTTGGTGCCCCTGTTTATCTTTGGTGGTCTATACCTTCCTTCAGTGTTCTTGGTCTGAAGTCACTGTGTCTCGCTATCACCTCCTTTGATCAATTATCTTCAGTGTCATGTGTCATTTGACAAGAGAGGGGTAAGATCCAGAGAGGGCCGAGTCACAGTTGCTCTTTGGCCATCCAGTTTCGGATGCCTGTCCACTGAGTTCTAGTTTCCTGTCTTTCTGGAGAATGATAACTCTGTCAAGATCTCAAATTACAGCCAGCGGCGACTTGAGAACAGCCAAGATGGCCAGATTAGCTTCTGTCTGCTTGTCAGAGCTGGGCTTTGCCAGTGCTGCTAATGGTTGGCGAGGTGGAGAAACAGCAGCACAAAAGCAATTAATGTCGGGTTAGATCAGAAAGAGAGGTGCTGCTTTCGGAAACTGGGGTTGCACGCAGGCACGGCACTGTCAGGTGGTAAAACCTCTCCAACGATCGACTGTAGGCTCACACAGGTGAGGACAGTGTTGGCCACTGGATGGGCAGGAAAATCCAGACGTTTGTCGATGGGCAGCAAGCTCCTTGATAAACACCCCGGGCAGAGCTGATTGTGGACACCTCTGTTTCCGCGCCAACAGGGGTACGAGTTGGTGGTTTGATCAATTTTGGTTGGGTTTGAGTTTGTGAAGCTTACACCTCTTCGTACTCTTTGGAATGGTGGCTTGCTGCTATGGAGTCATTAAGCTAGTATATGCAAATCGTGATTTCGCACCAGTGGCCAGCCCGGGAGAGCAGGGATTAGTTGGCCAGATGAAATTCATCCACAGTCACATCTCTCCAGGTCTCCAGGGCTTTTAAGGGATTGGGGATATTTTGAGATTCCTGGGTGGTGTAAATGGTTTACACTCCTTTCTTAAAGGTTGATGGTTTGAATGTACCCAGTGGTACCGAGGAAGAAAGGTCTGGCATTCCGTTTCGGGAAAGTTTTCAGCCCAGCAAAACCTCTGGAGCAGTTTTAGTCTGTAAGACACGGGGCTGCTGGTCTAGCAATCAGCGTGACATCAGCGGGTTTGGTTTATTGGTTTGGGGAGAATTTTCCATCGTTTGAGCACCAGACAACAAATTATTTTCATGCATTGTCTGTTCAACCCAAGGAGACCTGGTGGCACAGTGACTAAGCACTGACTCCCCGGATGCTCCAGAGAAAGAAAGATGTAGCTGCCTGTGTTTGCAAAGATTACAGCCTTGGGAACCCTTTGGGGGCAGCTCTATCTTGTAGGGTTACTATGAGAGAGAATGAACTCGGCGGCAACACATGTTTTGCTTTGTCTTTTTTACATTCAGTGGAATAGGCTCCATGGAAAGCCTTTGGCAGGTAGCCCTTGATGTGGGTGTGCTGATGTGGGAGTGCCTGGGCCGGGGCTAAGCCAGCCCCTGGTATCCCAGAAAGCAGGTCCCACAAGTCCCTGTGAGGTAAAGGAGCCCAGCAACCCAATAATGATGCATTCGTCAAAAGGCTGTCTGATCACTTCCAACCAAGCAGTCATCCACCCTCCAAACCTGTCTAGTTGTGTGTGTGTGTGTTTTCTGGGGTGTAAACTCAGATACTTCAAGTGATGGTTGTTTTTTGTGCCTGTGCTTTGCTAGTTTGGGAAATCCTCAGGAGCGCTTCCCAGGGCATGAGAATTACAGTTTTAAGCTGGTCCTAATAAAACAGGTTCTCCTTCTTGGCCCCTGCCCCAGTCCAGCCTGCATCCCACCAGCATTTGGAGATGAGCCACGCTTAGCACCTATTGGAGATCTTATATCCTGATGATGAGCCATTGTTGCCTGGGGTTCCTTTGTTTCTGGGAGCCAAAATATTTCCTGAGCGGAGAAGAGCAACAAAGATGATTGACAGCACGGAGCCGAGTCTCATCAGCTGCCTTGCTGACAGGCTGGTGATGTGCGGGTGGGTGACAGCTGATTGACAGCGCAGGGTTGGGAGGCAGAGAAAATGAAGCATGCTTCGAACGCCCGACGGGCTGTTTCTGCAACGCTCCCAGCACAGGCGCCGCCACCTTAACCCGTTCGCGGTCCAGGTGCAGCATGCTGGCTGGGAAGATGCCAGGCTGTCCCCTAGGCTGCAAGATGCAGGACTTCCTGGATGCCCTCCTGAGCTCTGAGTGCTGGGGATCTCAGAGGAGGAAAATAAGGATTGGTGACTACCTTTTTATTGGTAAACATATTTTTAAAGTCCCCTAATCATATCCATGCTAGGAAATAAGCAACATTCCACATGAAGTTTCTTTAATCCTTCTTAGAAATAAAGAGGAAAAGACTCATTCCTCTTCTCCACCTCTGTGTCTTGAGAGGGTCTTGCTGGGTCCAAGACAGCATGTCTCTAAGCTCCCATGACTCCCTCAGTGTTCTCTGTGTTTGTTTATTTATTTGCTATATGGCTCCCCCTGCTAGAATAGTAATTCCATGGGGACAGAGGCTTTGCTGTTGTCCCGTCTCCACATTAACACAGTAACTCACACAGCATAGGTATTCAGTAAATATTTGTTGGATAAATGGATGGATGAGTGGGTGGGTCCATGGAGGGATGTGAAAGTAGGTATATGAATGGGTGGGTGGATGGTGGTGCATGAAGCGGTGGATGGATGGATGGATGGATGGATGGATGGATGGATGGATGGGTAGGTAGATAGATGAGTCTGTGGGTAGGTGAATGGATGAGTCTGTGGATAGGTGGGTGGGTGGATGGGTGAATGATTGGGTAGATGGATGGGTGCATGAGTGGGTGAGTGGATAAATATATTGTTGGGTGGGGACATGATGGTGGATGGACGGATGGATGAACAGACATTTGGAGAAACCCTTGACAAAATAAATGTTGACAAAGATCTTTACAGAGATCTTTGAGCTTTTTTCAACTGGAGGGCCTCGGTCCCCATTACTCCCCAGCAAACCCCGTGGGTGGGCATCATGCTTCCCAGGAGACTTCTCATACGTTCCTGGCTGTGCTCCAGTCTGCTTCCAGAGAGAAGAATGCACCCTGGCTGCATGTATAATCGCACAGGCAATAAAGAAGCCTTTGGGAGCTACTCAGATCCTCTTTCATGTAGCTGGTATCATCTCAGCCCCCCAGCTCTTCACTCTCCTGATAAGGAAGAGGCCCTAAGGGTGGGATAGGAGAAACTGCTGGCTCAGATGGGGACTCCTGCAATCTTCCTAGAAGCCTGCAGGTGCTATTGGTATGAGAAAGGTACTGCGATGGACAAAGGGACTGGACGTGTGGGTGTCCCTGGGCTCCTGCCCGACCCTGCCTTGCAGAACATTGGGGATGTGTTTCTCCTGCAGAAGAAGGGGCAGTTCCAACAAGGCAGGATTCCCTTGGATTAGCTGGGAATTTCAGGAAAGGAATAACCTGAATGGTGGGCAAATCCCTGTCGGTCAGAAGGTCAGGAACATGAATGCCATCAAAGGTGGCGAAGTCTCTTCTGAAAATGGGGATTGTTTCAGAGAGTTCAGGTGAACCACGGCCAGTGAGTCACCGAGTCTCCACTTTACTGACTCCACAGAAGTGCCCCCTCCCCTCACCAAGGCCTTCTCTTGCTTTTTCCCATAGCGAAGGGGGAAGAGATGGTTTTCACTAACGGAAGGAAGACTCCTAGGGAGTCCTATGCCTCTCTTTGACCTAGAAAGCGAGGGAAGCACAGCTTTTCTGCACACCTGCCTTGCCATTCGAAGCCCAGTGTGAAGTGTTACTATTCCTCTTCCCTTGTGCAGGAAGGTACCGTCCTGAGGTCATGTTACCTTGGCAAGTCTGCAGTAGAAGTCCTACCTTCCACGTGGGAGATCCTGGTTTGATTCCCAGTGAATGCGCCTCGTATGCAGCCACCACCATGTGTCCGTGGAGACTTGCCTGTTGGTAGGATGCTGAGCCAGTATCAGAGGAATTTCCAGGCCAAGGTAGACTAGGAAGAAAGGCCTGGTGACCTATTCTGAAAATAAGCCAATGAAATCCCTATAGGTCACGAAGCTTGAGTCTGCAACTACTTATGGGGATAGCCCCGGACTGGGCAGGGTTTGGTCGCCTTGTGTATAGACTTATAGAGCCAGGAGCTGACTCAGTTGCAGCTTACCAAAGGGACACCAATTCGTAGGTCATTATTAAGTTAATTTCAACCAGTTTCCTCTCCTCCTCTTTGAACTGAGAGCAGAGCCAGGGCCCACCTGATAGCCTACCCTCCTGACCATCCCCCCATCATTTCATTTAAATCACAAACAACATGTAAAGCTCTCAAGAGATCTGGCCCATATCCAGATTCTTGTCGGCCACTTTCTTTATCGATTCATGGATCCCAATTCATCCAGGGAAGGTTTCCTTTCTGGGAGAGAGGGGAAATGCAGGCACCTGTCACAGAAGCTCGGAAGACTCATTGAAAAGGCACGACGGTACCATGTGGATGTGCCTGTGTTTTGATATATTCTTTCCTTAGGATGCCAAACCTTCATTTTCTCATTTGCAAGGCCCTGGCTTGTGGGGAAAATTAAATGAGATAATGGCATCTCAGAGCCTGTGACAGATGACTTGCAGCAGTGTGTACCTCTATTCCTGCCAGGCACAACCTGAGCATGAGCCTAGCTTCTGTGAATTGTAGGACCTTGCCATTGACAGAGGCTTTTCACATGCACTCCAGGTGTACAGCTGGGGGCACGGGGCAGTTGGTCAGCTGCTTGCAGTTGGCAATTCCTGCTGAAATGCCAGACTCAAGAAATGACCTTCCCCCAGACTCTCAGTTCAAGAAACCCACTTGTGAGTACATGATGCCTGCGGA